GTTAAAAACGCCGTGTTGAAGAGATGTCTTTATGCTTCTAATATCAGTAAGAAGACCAACCACCGTACAAATGGTAATTATAAATAACAAGACCCTAAAACTTATCTTGAGGTACTTTACCAGCAAAACACTATCTTGCTGACTGTCTCTTCCATTCGTATCCTTGTAAATTAGCAATGTCATCCCTGTTCTTCTGCAAAGCTCTTCCAAGTTTTCGGCGATCGCTGGCCGTCCTACAAAATAACAACGAGAGTTTTTGTCGGCGGACTTCAGAATGTTCTCGGAATTTATTCGACCATGCATTGATGAGCTGGTTATAGGTATTTAGTGCCAGCCTCTTCCTCTTCTTCCTCTGGACTAGAAACTTAAACCGAAAACTGACAGTGGCGGTACTAGTCTCTCTGATTTTCTTCATGATGTCGTTAATGGGTTTACCGAAATAGTGACCCAGTAGAAGATGTTTATCGTTATTTGGTTGTTATTTGAACTGCTTCTTCTCCGTAGGTACTTGCAATTTTGCACTGATATTTATCGGCTGTAACCTTTTTTTTAGTTACAATAAACAATTAACAGTAATAAAACTTTAAAGAGGGCTGCTTGGTATGACAAGTTAAATATTTTTGATATCGATTACGGGGCAGTTTAGTTTAGGCGTTTAGCCTCAATTCCTTATTAACTGCAGCAATGCTTTACGGCGCCAGTGGTTTATTATAACCAGTTCAGCAAACTTCTTTTTGTTCATTAAGATTAAGGAATAATGGCCGTTTTTGTTAGTGGCTTAGAAGATACAAATAATCTTAGCATTTTTTAATTACCCAACTGTCTGGACGGTTAATAAGAAAAAAATGCCAGAGGTCCCTCCTTTGTTCCTCTACAATGAAGTTTATAGTAGACAGTCAGCTTTTAATTTCGTTTCAATGGAGCAGATGGATCGCAAACGAAATGTGTTTCGCGTACCGGTTTATTGTAAGGGAAAAACGAATTAAATGACGCTGACATTTATCGGCTGTAACCTTTTTTATTTACGATAACTTACAGTAATAAAACTTT